CTGATTGAAATAACCTCTGCTCAGCCCAAAAAAAAACAAAAAACTCAACTTTAACTGTCAGTTTAAGTGTCGACTGTACTTGAGGATGCCTCAATCGCTCTCTGTCGCACCTCACCAACTCACATGCAAGTTGCCCTCAGGGACCGGTTAACCCTTTACTTTACTTTACTTTATAACAAAAAAAAGGAGAAGAAAATAAATAAAAAAAAAAACAACAACCAAAAAGAGAAGAGAAAGCTTGGCCAAAAGGATGGCTACTTAAAGGACTTTTGCTGACAAAATGGAAAAGGCAACAAGCAGAAGAAGGGGACTCCGAAAATAGGGACCAGGATAAGGGATTGGGACCGGTACAGGGACTGGGAACCGGAAAGGGCATAAAGGATATTGGTCGAGGTCCAGAGTTCGGCAAAGATTAGGACAATTAAAAAAGGGAATGCTTAACAATTAAAATCAATTTGTGCGTGTGTTCGTATGGCAGGATCCCAGCTCCTTGCTCCTTGCTCCCTGCTCCTGCTCTCTGTTCCTGCTCCCTTTCCCCTTGCATCCCTTTTCCGAATCCTGTTGACAATTTGTTTGCTCGAACAAATCAACTAAAAGGCAACGGCTAAGTGGCAAAAGGAGAAAGCTCTGGGTTAAAGTCAAAGCAAAAAAGGATGTGTGGTGGGGAGGGGGTACCGACAATGACGATTGCCTGGGATTCAATTTGCCCAACTAGCTCCCTCTCTCTCTCTCTATCATACTCTCACTCTCTGTCTCTTTCTCCTCCCATATCTGATTTGGAGACAAATGTCTGCGTGTGTGTGTCCTGCGGCAAAAGTGGAGCTGCAAGGATCAGCAACCGGACCCCTTGTGTCAATAAAAAGGCAACGGGCAAAAAATAAACTTAAATCGCCTATTAATGGCCCACACACACACACACACACAAATATATATAAAGAAGGAACTTTTTTGGTCAAAGTCAGCAAAAGTTAACAGGACAGTAAAGGCTGACTGGCCTCAAAAAAAAAGAAGGACAAGCACTGATAATTATCACACGAAGATGGAGATATACCAATGGCAGTTTTCAGTTTTCAGTGTTGATAGGTTGGCTAGAAAATCCTTTTCAGTGTTGATAAGTGCTTAAAAGCAGAGTTCAGTGTTGAGAAGATAGCAAAGGCAACCTTTACAGTGTTTATACGTTGTTAAAGAGAAAAGTATCACTATTGAAAAATTCTAAAAAGAGTACATAGTATTAGGAAGATAGCAAAAAATATACTTTTCAGTATTTAAAATTTCTCAAAAGTGACTTTAGAATAAATAAGTTTGCAAAATAAGGCTTCAGTGTTCAAAAAATATGGAAATATTCTTTAAACCACCATGAAGTTCACCCAATCAAAACTCTCCCCATTGGATCAATAAACTCACAACACGAAAATTTTCGATGCCGGCTCAGATTTCATAACATTAATCGAATCTCGGGGATAGACTTCGTTGAGCTTTAATATAATAACCAAATGCAGCTCCCTCCCAAAGAAACGGGTTAAGTTATTCATCAATTCTCCAAGGCTCCAAGCGGATAAGAGAAGCAAAAAAAAAAAAAAATAAAACTTGTTAACCGTGTATAATTAAAGCATCTTGAATCGATCTGACTCTCATTAGCATAATTCTAACATAACTCCCGACATGGCTGGGGCATAAAATTATGAGACGAACTCGAGAGCAGCCAAAACTCTAAATAAAATCATAAGAAAGAGATATATACCAATATATATATATATAGAGGAGATGGGTTTTTTTAGGGGGAATGAAGCGAAGCGAATGAAAGTTGCTTGGCCACATCGAAGCAGAATTTCAATCAGTAAATTGAACACCTGAACTTAACTGATTTTGTGGTTGTATACACACAGAGTGTGTGTGTGTGTGTGGTTTGGTTATTTTATTTTATTTTATTTTGTGTTTTTTTTTTTTGGAAAGGGGAGAAGCTGCGCTGCGAAGAAGCAAACAAGTTGATGTCGAGCAGCAGGAAATTAAGCCAGGCCAAGAAAAAGACACTGCAACAATGACAAGCCGAGGGGAGCCCAGCTGCTGCCTGTGGTCGCCTTTTTATATATCTTTTATATATCTTTTTTTCTCGATTTTTTGTTTTGGGTTCGGTATCGGTTTGGGCTTTGGGTTTTGGGGCTTGGGCCAAACCAAGCTTCTCCACTTTACGTTTAGCATTTTTTTTAAATTCATGTTTATGGTTTTGTATTACAAGCGATCGGCAACGGCCAAGACAGTCAGCCAAGTCAGCCTCAGACTCACTCCGAGATTTGTATAACTTTAAGCCTTATTAACATATTTTATGCTCCATTCGAGTTCCATTCCAAGTCCAAGTTCGCCCACACACCAACATTTTTTAACCATTTCATCTCCATCCAACCATTCCGTTTTTTATTATTTCTAGCCGCTTTTCGTGTGGGCCGACGTCGCCACTTTGACATAGATCGATCCAAAACCCAATCCCAATCCAAGTCCCCCCCCGAAAAACACAAAAACCCACAAGAAAAGCCATTGGCAAAGAGTGAAAAATGATTTCGAAAGCGTGTTTTGGGGTCTTTTTTGGCTGCCGCACTTGACCAGAAGAGTCTGGCAGACTTCGATAGGCGTCAGATGGTAAACACAGATATTTTTGTCAGGTGTGGAGGGAGGTATGGATTGAAAACTATATGAAAACCCCAGTTACGGGGGGTTTGATTTGTAATTATATAACTTTTTTGTAATTATATCTAAGGCCAAACTCTTTTTTTGGGGTTTTCTAAATACTATATTCATTTCTAGAAAGTTTCAGATCGAAAGCTATATTAGATCCCAAGTTACATGAGGTTTGAGTTGTCATATCAACGTTTCTTTTAGTTATTCCTCAGGCGACATATTGCAAAACCTTTTCAAAACTATTTTTTTTACTTATTTTTATATTATATTAATTTCTAAGAAGTTTCAGATCAAAAGCTACATTAGAACCCAAGTTACATGAGGTGTGAAACACCATATACCAAAACTATTTGCTTGACTACTTTGAAGTATTTTCTTATTTCGTGTGAAGTTGTATACCAAAAACCCCAACTGCAACTCGAATTACATTGGGCAAATAAGAGATCTTTTTGGCTCTAGCTTCTATACGTATTTCTCCATACTATACACATGATAATTTTAACTAGCTTTAGCTGCAACCACTGTCTAACTAATCACTATGCCACGTTTCATTGAGCAAACCTTAAATGTTTTCGTTTCGAATTATCATCCACAACGAACGACAATTGCCTGTCCGTAGATCCCTCACCTGACAGCTGTCACTGCGGTTCGTGTACCTGTACAGCCCCCAAAAGCGAAACCCAAAATAAAGCCGAAGACCCCAAGCCGACACAAAAAGTAAAAAAATAAATAAACAATCTCCGGCGGGGCTACCTCATCTCGGTCTTATTCTTTTGTCCGGCCATCAGTATCCCCATTTCCTTCTCCCCGTGCAGCTAATTGAGTTATATCCCCACCACATGACACTGCAGTCGAGTGCAAGGGGAGCCGAAAACCGAAAAATAAAGTCAGACTTTGGCCGGGAGGAAACCTATTTTAAAGCGACCCGAACAGAAAAAAAAAAACAGGGAGAGAAAGAGACACACTCGGCCACAAATACAAATCAATTCAATAAATAAGAGCGTCAGACCTTTCCCATACTGGTTTTCCTCTGTGCCACACTCCTTCCTTTTTTTGTAAACCATCGAAACATGTTAGAAAAGAGCAATAATAATGAACAGGAACGGAAAAAAGGTGCAGAGATTCAGATGCAGGTAGACACTATGTGTGCTCTGAGATACAGAGATGGGGATGGGATGCAGAGATATTGAGAGATTGGGGTACTGAGATACAGGGATACTGAGATTCAGAGATACTGAGATATTGAGAAACTGAGAGAGGACTGAATGACTGAGGGACTGAGAGACTGAGATAAGGGGATACTGAGAGGCTGAGAAACTAAGAGACTTAGAGACTGAGAGACTGAGAGACTGAGGGACTGAGAGACTGAGAGAATGAGAGACTGAGATTCTGAGATACTGAGATACGGAGAGAATGAGAGAGTGAGAGACTGAGGGACTGAGAGAGTGAGAGACTGAGGGATTGAGAGACTGAGAGACTGAGATTCAGAGATATTGAGATTTAGAGATACTGAGACTCAAAGATACTGAGATTCAGAGATACTGAGACTCTGAAATTGTAAAAAATTGAGATTCTGAGATACTGGAACATTAACAGAAACAATTTCCTTCTCTTGCAACTGCCTAGACAAATATATATTTATTTGTGAATAAATCTGTTTATTAGTAACCTTTTAATGTAAATCATTCCTATCCAATTCTCTCAGTGCATGCAACTGACGGCACCAAAAGTATCCAACTATCTGTGTGTGGCACAAAAGATACACATGAATAGCACAACCGATAGATACAACTGGCGACACCTTCGCCTGCTCGCGTCTAACTAAATCCGATTATAACTAATTATTATGGACGCCGAATGGGGGAGATGGAGTAGAAGGAGGGGTGGGCGGTGGAATGAAAATAACCAGGGTTGCCAAGCTAGCAAAGGAAGGGGCTTGGCGTGGGCCCTATTTTTTGTCTTTCTTTTTTTTTTGTATCTTATAGATGTATGTATCTTATAGATATGCATGTAGCTGCTGGCCATTGTACTCTCTGACTTTATTTTATTATTTACCTCGTTTTGAGGTTTGCTTCGGGTTTTTTTTTTTTGTTTTTTGTTATTGTCATTGTGTAATGTCAGTCATGTCCATACAACAATTGTTTAAACTTTAAGCACATGTGGTGAGTTACGATTGGAAAAATAGGGGAATCTGTTAGGTTTCTTTTCTTTTAGGGATATTTTATTGGTCAAACCCCCTTTAAATCCATGTTTTCTTAACATTTACTATTATAATTATTTTCTATTATTAATATTTAAATTCAAAATAAAATATATTTTCAGCTTACCTTTAACACCTCTTCAGTTGGTAGAAGAGTTTCACTTGCCTCGAGTGTCACTTTTGCTTTGCGTTTCCTTGTCCCTTAAGAGATCAGTGTCTATGGGGTTAAAACATAAGTAAGTAAGATTATTAATTCAATTCTTTCGTCCTTTTTTTTGTTTATGTGTGTGCGTATTAATTGTTGTGGCTAATGTTAGCCATGTTCTTCGTCTTCTGCTGCCTTCTTCATCTTGGCCATAAACACGCACAGGCCGTGTTTGGCAGCGACGGCTTCCGCATTCATGGCTCTTTTATGGGGCACAAAATGTTTATTAGACATTAGGTACCCACAGTTGTACCCCGTCTCCGTTTCCCCCGGTTTTCCCCTCTTTTCAAGAAAAAAAAAATATAATACAAAAACTTGCAGGATATCACGCATATTTCGCATAAAAAGTCAGAGCAATCGACGTTTTTATGCAATGTCCTCTTCCCCCCCTAGGGGCCAAAAGGACCTGCCTTCATGAGCCAGTCCTTTTCTACTTAATTTTCTATTATGATCTTTGGTAATTGTTGCAATGAAAATTTATTGCATGAAAATATTTGCCAGGGCTTGTCGAGAGACCCTCCTCCAAAAAAAATTATTAATAATTAAAATGGGTTCAAGTAGAATGAGGAGTCTTTTTGTATATAATTATACTATATAGAAAAAAGTATTAATTATTAAATTGAAAAATTATAAATCCAAAACTTGTCTACTTGTTTTTCAATTTATTATTTTGTATTTAAAACTTTTAAAAACTCATCAATAGATTACCTTTCTTTCTTTCTTCTTTTTAATTTACTTTAATTTATATATTTTTCTATAATTTTTATTTATTTTTTTTCAAATGAAACCACCTCAAATTGTTTAATTTTTGTCTTCTTATATAAACATAAACATATAAATCCCCCAAAATGAAACCAAATTTATTTGTAATATTTCGGTTTGGCATGCGAGGACGCCAAACAAATTGAAAAATTGATGCCTGCATTAGAAAGGTGGGTGGGGTGGGGGGTAGGAGGAGTAGGGTGGAAAATGTAACCACAGATAAGTTGGAGTGCCTCCCTCCTCCCCCCTTGGAAAACCAACCCCTCTTCGGCACTATTTCGACCCCCTTTCTTTTTTAGTCCTGCAGTTTGATAAAGCGACGGACATGATTCATGGAAGGCTCCGTCGTTTTGGCTGTGCTCTCGATTATTTCCTTGCATGCCTAAGGTTTTCCCTTTTTTCCCGGAGGGGGTACAGTGGGGGAGTTAACACAAACACAGACAAAACATGCAATACAATACAAATAAATACAACAACAAATACAACAATAGCAGTGAAATAAAAAAGGGGAAAAAAAGAAACGTATAAAAAAGTACAAAACGTGTGTGGCACGAAAGCCGAATCAGGCGATTGTCTCCGTTTTTTTTTATATTTCATAATACCCAGGGATCAAAAAGGGTATATTTTATATAGGGAAGATATGTCACTAAAAATTATTAATAAGTAAATAAATAAATAAGTAAATTAAGTAATATTAAAGCAGAAAGAGATATTTTAAAGATACAAATAATGCCTAGAAATTCATTTTTATATAAGAAATAAATCCTAATTAATGTAATTTATTTAAAATATTATTAAAATTAAATATAATCAACAGTTTCCTATTTACACTTAAAATATATAGAAATAATACATTATTTTTTATATAGAAGATATATATCATCTAAATAATTGAGTAATTAAAAATATTAAAACAGAAACAGATATTGTAAAGGTAAAAAATATGCCTTACAAGTTTATATTGATTTTAGAAATAAATCCTAGTAATTGTTAATTATTTAAATTAAGTAAATTATTATAATCACTCTCTTAGTTATACATAAAACATATAAAAATTATATATATATTTAACATATATTTATTTTATATAAAAATTATATATTTAACCCTTTGATATTGCAACTCTAAACAAAGCAAGCTTTGCAGGGTATTTCATGGTCTATAAATCCCCCTCAAAAAGCTTACCCTACCCGACCTGGCTGACTGTTACGGTTGGTGTTGGGGTGTATGGGGCAGGGGATTTGGTTTTTCGAACGCATTTTCAGGACTCAAAGACTCAGGGACTCGGTACCCATAACCCAGTACTCAGTACCCAGTACCCAGGACTTTCAGGACTTTCACAGACAGGACAGCTGGAACGGTGCTGAATGTGGCAACAAGCGTTAAGTGGTTGCCTGTTTGTCGCTCGTGTACTTGGAAATGTTTTACAAATTCAGCAGCGTGGATAAAAAATGGGAATAAATAAACGCAATACAAATGCACACATCTATATACATATATCAAATCGGATCGGATGGGGGCACATAAACCAAATAAACCCTATATATAAACCACCCCCATTGTCTGTCAGCTGTTTGGTTATAAAACCAAGTCAGCTGCTAATTTTTAAGAAGGAAGGAAGGAAGTAAATCCCCGCTGCGGGGGTGGTGTCCTTCTCACCAGATGACTCATAGACCCAAGGGTGAACATGCTTCTATATAGCATTCATTCGATTCACGATTTTACCATTCATTCAAATTTTCGGTGGTTGTCCCAGTGCGACAGGAAATAATATAAAAAAACTAAAATCGAAACTTAAACTAGAGCACAAAAAGCTATCCCACGGGGGTGGCTAGCTGCCAGGATAATGAGTCATGGCGCATGAATTATTTATCAGTATCCTTTTCGAAACAGAGTGTCTCTGCCCCGAAAATTTTATGTTTAGAAGTAGAAGCTTTAATGAATTTTAGTTTGTTTTTTGTGTGTTTAAGAATTATTTTGTCAAGTACTTGGACCTCAATTGGGATTTGAAAAAGGTTTTCTTTTACACCGAACAAGAAATATTATATCAATATATTTTTTAAAATTATTAGTAAAGAAAATAGACCTGAAATTGGACATAAAAAAGGGTTTCTAGTATGCTAGATAATAATTTATATTCAAATTTAGTTTTGAACAAAAATATCTCAAGTTTAAATCTAAATTGAAAAAGTGTTTTTACTACCCTGAATAATAGTTATTATTTGAATTTATTTTAAACAAATATTTGTCAACCAAAAAAAAACATAATTCTGACTTTTAAAAAGGTTTCTTTTACCGAAAAATAACTATTATTCCAATTTGTTAATTAACAATTAGTTTATCAAAAAATAGAATTCAATTTCTACTTGAAAAAAGGGATTCCTCTATCCTATATAATTAAAATTATTTGAATATAAAATTAAACAATTATTTATCAATATTATAGACCTCAATCCTATTTCAAAAAGAGGTATTAATTTAATATAATTTTTTTTTTTTTACAAATATTTGTCAAGTATGTACATAGACCTCAATTTCGAAGTGAAAAAGGGGTTTCTATTATCCTAAATTATAATAATAATTTGAATTCATTTTTTAACAACTATTTTACAAGTACATAGGACATAAATCCGACTTAAAATAGGATTTCTACTATCCCTAATAATTCGAATTTATTTCTTTTGTTCCCCAATTATGATTATTTCGATTTCATATATATTTTTAAAGTTCAAGTATAGCTTTTCCCCTGGGAAACCTAAAGTTGAGTGTCCGGCTATCATCGCTCCGGAATTTTCATCTCGTGAGAATTGTTTTTGGTTTGGCGCAGAAGACCAACCGCAAGTATTTCATATGCGAGAAAAGCCCCTTGGAAAAGCCCCTCCTCCTCCCCACCCAAAAACCTTGCTTGGTGTGTGTTTGGTAAAAGTTTTTGGGCTTATCTAAATGCCATTTTATTTCTGCTACTCCTTGGCTTGTTCTTTTGCTCTTGTTCTTGTTCTGGTTCCTGTATATCTCGTATCTTGCAGATACATCTGCCAGGAGAGGTAGGGGGTGAGAGGCTACTCAGAAAATACAACAACATTTCTGCGGTCAGAAGTTGTCAGTTGATAAAAATGCTGGGGCAAAGTCAACGATAGCCCGAAATCCACTTTGGCTAAATGTAAATATTAAATTTGAGCATAAAAAAAATAATACAGGGTGAGGAAAAGGAACTAAGCCAAGCAAAAAAAACTAAAGTGAATACTGTGCAAAGGCCAAGGAAGGACACGAGAGGACCGTCGGGCCATAAAAAGCTGACTACGATGAAGTTCCCCCGGACTCAAGCTCAAACTCTCAATTGACGCGAAAAGATACATATATATACATATAGATATAGATATATCCCACAGATACGGATACATACAGCCAAGGGAGCTTGGGCTGCGGCAAAAAGACGACTCCATAATAATTTTATGCGCTTCCAAAAAAACTTCCGTTCAGTCATTGCTTTGGGTTTCCGCCTCAAAAAAAAAAAGAAAGAAAACCCTAAAACACGTGGTTAGTTCTTAGTCTTAGCCTTGAGTTGAGAACGTGATTGGGTTTACTTGGCTTAATTTATTTAATTGTTTAATTAAGTATTAAGGAAAATCTACTCAGGGTTTCTTTAAATATAAAACTGCAAGTTGCAGCCTTAAACTCTTGCTTAATTAATCTACTTAAATCTTTTTATCAAGTGTTTTTTAAGTACAATTTTCATCAACTAAAATCACGCAGTCATCTCTGAATATTTTCCACAATCTTGGCCAAATCGCCATAGAAATTTCGTAGGTTCTTGCATACTTTCCTTCCCTCTTTCCTTTTTTTTTTTGCCACTGTCAAGCTTTTCCTTTATGGTTCCTGTTCGCTGGCTTGATTTTTCCCCTTCCGCGGCTCGCTTTTCGGGTGGCTTTCTGAATGAATGTGAATGCGAATGCGAATGCGAGAATGTGAATGTGAATACGAATGTGAATGAATGAATGAATGAATGTTCAACTGTCACTTCCGTCAGACAGGCCAAGAAAAGGAAACTCGCCCACTCACAAGAAGGCGACGGTAGTCGACATTGTTGCTGCTGCTGTTGCCGGAAAAAAGGGGAGAAAAATCGGGATGAAGTGGGGGGAAAACGCCATGGAAAATCATGGCTAAAAGGCCAGAGGGGGGGGCAAAGTGCGGGGGCACGGGGGCCAAACGAGTAATGACATATTCAAACGCAGCGCGAACTTGACGACGCC